CACACAGGTGACATTGTTAGTGATTACCACAGCCGTCACCTGACCTGTCTGAGCCATCTCATTGGATGCAGAGAAATTTGGCTTCATTTTCCAGCAATGGGCGATTACATAGACAAGCAGCAGCTGTTGCCAGAGATGACCTCCGACCTGCCCTTCAGTCAAAAGGTGCCCATACACCTTACGACCATCGCAAGACCTTTGTCTTGCGATGGTCGTAAGCTCATGGAAAGCTCGTACCATCTGCCCATCTTGGACGGGCAGATCGTACTTGTGATCATCGAAAGCCCGCCCCGCTGAGGGCCGGGCTTCCGATGACCGCAGTGAGGGGCGGGCTTCCGATCACTGCAAACGGGCAGTGTGGCAGTTAACTTTTGTTAACCCAGTGCAAGGGTTAACAAAGTTTTGCCCGGAGTTCTTGTTTAGCACCTCCAAAATCCACTCCGTCTCCCTACACTGAGCTCAGTGAACAATTTGCATTTGAGGGGCATTTGTAAGTCAGGTGAAATGGACACTGCCATCGAATGCACATGTGTACGTTTCATGTTTGTGCACCTACTTTATATTTGTCACACAACCCCATTCACATAATATAAATCATTGAAGTTCTGCTATTTATATTGCTGCTTACCTTTTACTTGTCTGAAAAAACCCAAACTGTAGATTTCTCCTGCTATGTAATGCTAAGTAGGGGGCTGGGGAGTTCATGTTTACCATAATTAACCCTGCCCGTACTGTGCTTGCAGATCTGATCAGTTGTAAAGTAGATTTGAGCACACAGTCTGTCCTAACAAAGGGTTAAAGATCTCAGGGGTTGTATGTTAAAGGAGAACTATGGGGTCAGGGCTTTTCCCCATAGTTCGCCTTAGGGTAACGGGAGGACACAAACTAGCTTCTACCCATCATCCAAAGCCAAGTAGCTCGCCCCAGAATGGGTCAAAAGTGCACATGAATGAAGAAACATACAGATCTGGTCCTGAGTGTGAATGAGCCTTTAAACCAACACGCCCCTAACCCCCATTCCCTACAATGAAGAGAAAAAAAAAAAAAGGACACTACTTCCATGCTACCCTAAACTCGACCCTGCAGGTGCCATCCAAAAATAAAGCCTGGTCAATGGCATTGCTTGCCAAAAAGTAGGGCTGCAACCAACTAATCGATTAATTGATTAGAATAGTTGTCAACTATTCTCATTATGGATTACTTGGTTGGATCCCCCAGCTCTCTCCTCCACGCTGGGAGGAGGGCACAGCAAGCAGAGGGCGGGTGCAATAACCAGCCTGCTATTGCAATGGCCAATAGCAGGCTGGGTATTGCACCAGCCCTCTACCTGCTGTATTTACATTCAGCTGCCGTCTGTGGAATCTTGCCGCTGGCAGCTGTCATTTCCTGGCTGAAACTATTCACGTGCCATATGCTTACAATACAATTATTTAAAAAGAAAAATTAGGAATAAAAGTAAGTTTTGGCCTGACAAATTCTGCTGTGGGAGGTGCGTTGCCGTGCCAGTCATTTCAATGGCACCCCAAACGCTCCTCCCATCCGTAGTGTGATCGCCCGCACTAGGACGCACGGTACCGCAATGCTGAGCGCTCCAGTGCAGTGCAATTACAAAAAAACATTGTGCACGCAGCTTTATTCTGAAGTAAATTTTATGTTTGTAACAGCCCATTTGTGTATTTTATTTTAAATTAAGGGTGGCATTTATTTTATCCAATTATTAAATCGAAAAAAATAAATCAGCCAACTAATCGATTATGAAAATAATCATCAGTTGCAGCCCTACTAAGTTACGGTCATCCCAATAACACAAAATCAAATTTCAGCCACTTAACGGCAACACAGGACGAAATTCTCACTGAAAATCAGATTTAAGATGGTTGGAAAAAAAAAAAAAAAACTTTATTGAAGCTTCATTTACAAAATCATAGATCATTTATGAAGTGCTGTATGCAAAACCAGATAAAAGGAAAACAAAATGAAACAAAAACAAAAAAAAGACTTAAAAAAACCCCAACCCTGTCTGTTACTCCCCCCCACACCAAACCCCAGGGAGTGAGAATAGTCTTTCAAGATCTCTGATACACAATAAGCACCAAAAGCCCCTGAATAATTGGTCCAAAAGCCCTGTTTAGATGTCAGGGAGAGTAACTGTTTGGAAGGTTAAATGATAAAAGAATTGGGGTATGGAGCATCCCTTTAATATGTAACAATACACTGATTGGCTATGGGAGGGTCTCACGGCTTTAAAAAGGATTCTTCCCCCCACTCATTTTAGAGCACGCTGCTTGCAAGAGATCGGTTACCCCCACAAAGGTCACATGACAAAAGGGTTTTGTTTGCTTGTTTGGCTGTGACATGGCTAGTTTATAGTTTCAAGCTTTAAAGAACAAGTGCGCTTATTCTTTCTCTCCTCCCCTTCTTTGACCTAATCGATCCCACCCTCGCCCTCTGCAGGTCTATACTTACCAAGATCAGAGGGTCGCTGCTCGTCTGTTTGCTGACATCCAGCCCTGTAAGTCTCCCTTTCCTGGCTGGGAGGCGGCCCCATAGAAGTCTATGGGGCTGTAATGTGCAGGTGCGGCCAGTAGAGGGAGCATTACGGAACTGGAATGTAAACAATAGAAGAACCATACCGGTCAGATCTCGGTGAGCATGGAACTGCGGAAGTGGAAGGTGGGATGACTTCGGTTAGGGGTGGAGGGGAGAAAGAATAAGTACACTTTGTTTTAAAGTTGCACTTATCCTTTAAAACACCCCACCTTCGTAAGAGGTGACCGCTCTCACTAAGGCTCTCTATTCTTAATTAAATCGGATCACAGAAAGCAAGCAATGACTGGAATAGCTAGGATCACCTGGAAGCCATGTACACCTGTGATCCCGGGCACAAGAGGGGTTCAGCCCAAAAAAAGATGCAGCATGCCTAATGGGACCAGTGCAATTCCCATCAATTTTCTGTTTGAGGAGAAGCAGCACTGGTCTGCTCATCGGTGAATCTACTATGCAATTTTATAGCAACGCCAAAACACGGACCTGACATGATCTCATGTGACCTTGCCAAAATGCAGAGACTGACCTCTCCCAACTTGAATGAAAACTGTTGAGTGACTCCAGTGGGTAAAATAAAAAAACAAAATTACCCTCAATGTCCCCAAGTCCAGCCAGAAAAGATCAGAGAAGTTATGGTTGGTTGCAACGGGCAATAGAATTTTAGGCATTTATTCACCTTTGAGGATCACAGGGCGAACGGCTACAATATGCCGTAATCCAGAAATCAGCTTTCAGCAGGTTAGATGTAGTAAAGCCGCAAAAAGATGCGTGACTTGGAGAGGGGGAGGGAGAGAAAGAGAGAGAGAGAAAGAGAGAAAGAGGCGAACGCACACTGCTTCTCTGACAGTCCGAACCCTTACAGTCCTGAGACTAATAGCCAGAGGTAGAACACGGCATCCGGGGGAGGGGGATGAGTTTATGGAGTGGCATATATTAAAAAAAAAAAAAGCAATGGCCTCTGTAAGATAATGTAAAAACCAAATACTTGACCCCCTAACCAAACACAGACATCTGTATAAAGCAGCAGGCTCAGAGTTTTGAATGCATGGTTCTATAGTTTGCCATTTTGGTAATACTGGGGAGGAAAACAGACCGAACCATATGAAGATAAGAGCAGCAAAGAAGAAGCTACAGTCAGGACTGCATCTATATAGGGAGTGTCACAGTGGATAGAACAGACTGATGCCTCTTGTTGGTGCAAAGTGTCCGCCTTGGTGGACAAGAGCAATTTAAATGTGGCATCCACAAAACCTACTTCCTCTTCCAAGAGAAGTTGGTCACTGAAGGAAAGAAAAGAAAAAAGTTAAAAACCGATCACTCCGCCGGTAGAGCTCTTGTAACTAAGCTCAGAAAAGCGATGCCATGAGATGGGTTGGTCACAGGCAGTTGCAGCTGGTGGTGCACATAAGGGCATGATCGCATGGCTTCCCGCCAGGTCACATCTTCATTTTTTTTATTAAATGGCGTAAAATAAGAGACTACATAATTATCTTTATGCATTGGTTGATGACTGGTACACATGGAGCCTATTGGGTCTTTTTCTTTAAAACCCAGCTCAGACCAAAACTTTCTCCCCTTACGTTTTGGATAGAGAGGGGAATGGTTAGCACATCCGTGTCCTCATTTCTTGCCACTTCCTGTCTATATAATGGGTGTCAGACAGAACAGGAAGTGTGTGGCAATCTACTTCCCATGTGGCAGGTGTCAGAAATTGAAGAAAAATCCCACAGACCTTTCCTCGAATGGGGCACAGGCAGCAATATAAAAACACACTGGGGGGGAATCAAAACTGGAGCAGACAAAATCTGGAGCAGATTTGCACTGCAGCCAATCAGCATCGCTCTCTCATTTTCAAATCTTACCGGAGCAAACTGAAGAGAGATGCTGATTGGTTGCTATGGGCAACTGCTCCATAATCTCTCTGCTCCAGTTTTGATAAAACCCCCCATTGAGGGGGGATTTATCAAAACTGGAGCAGTCAGCATTTGCCCATGGCAACCAATCAGCTTCACTCTTTCATTTTGAAAGCTTAACTGAACAAGCTGAAGAGAGAAGCTGATTGGTTACCATGTACAGATTCTGTCTGTTTTGACAAATTTCCCCCCATCGAGTAGAGTGAAGAAGGTTTAGAAGCCCTTTCAGGATATTTTTTTTTCCATCCGTGGCATCCAGAGGGACTTCCTGTCCAGGTGATGGGTGCCAAACAGAACAGAAGAACAGAGAAATCTCCTCTGTGGGGACATATGACAGCATTTAAAAATCGTACAGAAAAATGTCCTTAGTGAGGACACAGCACTCTGAGGTCTGTTCTCTCCCCACTACCCCAAATTGAAAAAAATTTAATTGGCTGGAGTGGGCTTTAAGTTCCAAGTGTACCATACATCCATATGTGCAATATTTACTGTACTACTCTGCTCTCCTGCAGTTTATTTTTGCAGAAACGTCACATTATTCATCTGGAAGCGCAACACCGTGACCCAGCTGCCCACCTGTGAAACCACCCGACAGCAAAAGACTGCCTGCCCGTTAATCAGCTCTGGTCAAACGTCTCGCAAAGTAAAGGCACGCCTGGCAATAAAGGGGTTAACAGCCTTTAAAATGCATTTTGCCAGTTTGCAGCAGCCGGCTGCGTGTTAAAAGCCTGATAAAAAGTTACTAGAAAACAACAAAAATCATAATCTGAAAAACACTGCTCCCTCGCTGAAAGGAAAGAAAACAAAAAAGTATCATGATTTGTAGTGTAAGAATCCAGCTCGGGTAAGTATGGCAAAATTCATTGGAGAGAGGAGCATGCAACACAGCGCCTTACTGCAGCGCCGCCAAAGCAGAGGGGCTGTGATGCAGGATCCCCTCATAGGGACGGCAGATGACGGATGTCTTACTGCCGGAGTTCTACATAATTAGCTGGGAAGAGCCCATAACGTTCCTTGCACGTCCCTCTCCACCATCCATCATCAATCATCTCAATGTTCGTGATTATGTCATCTGGGTCGAAGGAGATCTCGTCGTCGCCAGCTGCAAACAAACAAAAAAAAAAAGTTTGCCCATTGTTCGACACATATAAAGTTATCTCAACCGAGTCAGTAAATTGGTTTTAGTGTTATCTGCCATCCCCGTAACAAAGTGCCAACCTCGAGCTAGGAAATTGTTAGCCTCAGCCTTCGCTACTAGTCAATGTGCCTGCTCCCAACCCACAATATATATCAAAAACTCCAACTCCTCGAGATCTCCAATGACCTGACTTCTGGTTTAGTTACAAGTAAAAGGTTGGGCCATGCGGCCATATTGAGTGGGGCAACTCTGATCTAATAACGTGCTGGATTAGTCTGACCCTAGTTCATTGTAATAGTTTATTGCCGTGTAGTATGGGTATAGGGAAATGCTGCGGGTGGCGCACGTGCAGTAGAGCCTTCTCGGGCGAACCTCTTACGAGTTGGGACATTGGATAGAACACACCAGCCTGCCAACTGTGGGGAATCTACAAGTCCCATCGTGCATCTGCCTGCGAGTCTTGCAATGTCTCATGGGATTTGTGGTTGCACCACAGCTGGGAGGGCCGGAGTCTGCCTAGCCATCCTAGATAAAGTGGGTTTTGGCATAATGGAACACCTTAGGTTTATGGGCTGCAGGTTATAACCAACGGGATGTGAAGCTACTTTGTTCTCCTTCAGGCTAAAACAACTTTGTTTCTGAAGTTCCAGCAAGAACACTGACATTGCAACCCACTCCTTCCACTGACGCATTTTGCCCCCCAGCGGTACCCAATACGATCATATCTCTCTATGATTAAGCTCTAGCAGTGGGTAAAATGTGTCAGCAGAAGGAGTGGGTTGGAGTGTCAGCATTTAGCTGTTTTTAGCCAGAAAGAGAACAGAGTATGGCCTTGTATGTGCTATGCGAGTCTCAAGGGAAGGAATGGATCTCTTTACAAGCAGTCAGCACTTATGGTTAAAGCGGAAGTTTAATTTGCTTATATTTGCCTTCCTTGATTCCTCCTCTCGTTCCCCATAAACATGGTAATACCATTTTAAAATAGGGTATGTCATGAAAATTGGCTTTATTTAAGACCCGGTGATGTCATCACTGTGTTTCGGGTCAATAGGATGCTGTAGATGGCTCCCTGAAAATAGGAAGCTCTGGTAACGTCATATGTGCTGCTGAGCCTCCGTGACTGAAAGAACAGAAATCTAATTAATGATGGGGCAGGCAAGAGCGTGTGTGGCTGAGGAGGAAAGACCTAGATAATATTGGATGTCCTCCAGCCAGAAAATGGGGCAGGCCCCATTTAACTTGCTGCAGCGTCAGTGTGCAGTGAAATCAGAGTAAGCAATTTCAGTCTAGGTGAGGAGCCAGTACATCTCTGCAAGACTGAAGGGAAGGGCGAAGTTAAGCTTTCAAAATCACAGGATGAATCTGCCCACTGAGCCTCCATTCACATATAGCTTTTGTGTCCCGTGCGGGAAACGCTATATGTGAAACTGCACAGATTCCGCTTATTTGCGGCCATTATATAGCTGCGAACGTGCTGAATCCGCCGGATTATCGCGCTTGCACTATTTTGGGTACTGCGTCGTCTCCACAATGGTCTGAACAATGCACATTAGAGTGCATTGTTTTTTCTGTGTGGCGCGGCTCTGCGCGTATTTATACAGCTGAAAACGCACGGACAGCCGCCACGGTGTGAATGGAGCCCAAGGGTTCCAGCATTTTGCACATCCACATTAATCTCTGCACTGCTATAGCCCACAGGAGTCACCAACATTAACCTACCTGCTTGATAATCATACAGAGCAATAGCGGTGATTCCAAGGTCATTGTCATCATACTCCGTATAGGTGTTCTCCACTGCAAAGAGAATATAGAATGTTACAAAGATGCCACATTGAGCAAAACTAGACACCACATCAGATAAAATTCCACTTTGTGATATCAAAAATGGGTCTCAATTTCCCTTCTCCGTGCTCCAGCGCTGTCCGAAATTTCCTCCTCTGTCCAACGTCAGTGGCCCTCTTCAAGACCGAACCCTTTCACTTTACTCATTTCCTATGAGCCCAGCCTGTCATTTCCATGCTCTCTCTAGGGGACATATCCTCATGCAGGCTGGGCTCACAGTACTTCAGGAATGAGTGGTGCTCACATCCTTATGTCAGTGCCACTCAGTCCTGGACAAAGGGGCATCTTCGGGGGTTTAAAGTGACATTAAACCCTCAGATTTTTTTTAACATAAACCAATACTGTAATGTGTGCCTTACTGTAATCCATGGTTGTTTCCTTTCTCTTTGCTGCTCTTCCTTTTAAATCCTCATGTCTTCTCATGCTGGGGGAGGACTTCCCTTTGCAGCTGAGTGCCTCTTCCTGTAGTGCTGGCAAGTTGCAAACCTATACACAGACACCATGTATCCATTTCAGAGACAAGGCAGTCTGCTGCAAAACAGAAGTTCTCCCCCAGCATGAGAAGAGATACGGATTTAAAAGGAAGAGCAGCAAAGAGAAGGGAAACAACCATGGATTACAGTAAGGCACACATTACAGTATTGGTTTATGTTAAAAAAATCTGAGGGTTTAATGTCACTTTAAGAAACCAGGAGTTCCACTTTAATTGGCTGTAATTGGAAACATCTCTTGTACTCCTGATATCATTGATGACCAAAGTGTACAATATCAATACATGGAAATTGAATGCATACTGCTCTGGGACTGGATCTTTTAGGAATCATATTGCTATATGGTAAACCATACGTCAATTTTGTTAAAGCGGACCTTTACCCCCTTTGACTAAATATCACAGCAGCATGCAGCTCTGCATGCTGATTGAAGTTCATCTTACAATCATTAGTTAAACGTGGTTTTCATTTACTTACAAATAGAATTCATCTACTTCCTAGTCCAGTTCTGACAAAATTATGTAAGTGCCAAAGCGTTACATCCTGGGAAGGTTACATCAGCAGAGCCTTGCTGGGAAATCTCATCTCAGGGAAAGGCATTTTCCTCCCAAGTTGATGTGCATGGTCACATGTCCTAGTCACATGTGCCAGATTTTCAGGAAGTAAAGGGAGAGCTAGTAATCTGCCCTTAGTTAACATGGCCACTGCCAGCAGACTGGGGGAAAAGAGAAATAAGGTATGCAAATAATACAAAGCCGGCAATTAGCTAGAAGTTTGCGATTGTAGATTGTCATTATTAAACATTTCTAAAAGGTGTGTTTGTTGTCATTTTAAAGATCTGGGTAAAAGGTCCACTTTAAACGACTGCAACATTGTATACATGCCTCATACTTAGAAACATGATCAACATCTTAAGTGATATTTTTATTCTCGCTTTGTTTTTGTGCGCTATACTTTACCATCTTGATAATCTGTGGATTCGTAAACGGCTTCAGTTATTGGTGCCTCCTCTTTAGGACTCTCAGCTTCCTGGTAAAGAGGCTCTTCAGCGTATACCGGTTCAGGCTCAGCTCTGGCTTTAGGTTGTTCTCGCTCATATAATGGGGCAGCGTCCTGCATTAGAAAAGAAAAAAATCCCAATCAATATAAAAAATATGGCATCCTACCCTAAGCTGTGCGCCCGCAATGCAAAGGTGTTGAAGCTGACTGGTTTGACCTCCTTTGGTCTTGTGCCATGAGATTTTCCTTCTGGGACCAGTTTCATATCTTTCACACTGACAAACTAGCCCCCCCTGGTCTCCATTACAACTGAAGCTTTTTACTTCACCATATACCTTGATCCTATTCCAAGAGTATGTTTCGACTAACCTGTGTCTATGCAAGGCAAGCAATCCTTCTAGATTGAAAAAATGCTCACCCATCTGCCTGTGATCACATCATTCAACTAATCAATATGACCCTGGCCAAGTATAGACCGGTATATGCTGGGGTGCCTGTCCAAGAATTTTACAATATCTGGAGTCAATGGTTATATCAACCAGGAGCTACTTCTGCAATTACTTTGTCTCAGTACGATACCTGATGCTGATGTTTCCATTTGCTTATCCATATTGTTTCAGGGAATGTATACCAGGATGGAGAGGAGGGATTGTATGAATGTGTGTATGTGTGGTTGTTAATCTGTCAGTCTTTGTCTGGTCACTACAATGGTTTACCCCCAGCTTTATCATTATGTTGTACAGAAGAGTACCATATCAAAAGATAAAATGCAAAACAATTATTCAAATTAAAAAAAAAGATAAAAAACAAATTTGTCACTTGAATATTTGTCATGTAAATCAAAGGATCCCCTTTTTTATTTGATGGAATTTGATGATTTAAAATGACACTAAACTCAGGAGTTACATCTCAAAAACGAATTCAAGCACCTTAACTATTAACAAAAATGTATCCTATTTGTGTATCACTCGGCTGTAGATCCTCAAATCATCCCTGAATTCATGCTGACGCTGTCCTTCCTTCTGGAGGGGGGGCTACTTTAGTTCCTCAAGCTCCAATCAGATTGTTCAGGTATATTGAGAGCCAGCGGGGCCGACTAGCAAGATACTGAAGCTTGGCCCAGTGGGAGATTCCTACATCCACACAGTTAAGCGTAGATGGGAGGGATCTGTTGCACTTTTTCCATCTGACCATAGAAAATCTGCAGATAATCTATAGGTGTATGGCCAGCTTAACTTTTTCAACCCCAATTACACCCAGATTCTTGAGCAGGGTTGCCAGTAAAACATGGTCTTAGTATGAAGGCTTAATTTATACATGTGAACAAACACAGAAGGAACCGCAATACAGTTTCAGTGCAGCATGCTTCTGCTACATACTCCTAGACATGGATTCAAGATTCTACTGTATCGGAAGCCTACAGATCTAACAGGTATTGCATACATTCTCTGGTCCCCAGAGATTCACGATTACAAAGGCATCTATAAATAAATAATTCAGCTTGGTGGCATTAAAAGATTCTCACCTCATATACCGGACTTGCTGGGGCCTCTTTAACTACTTCTCTTGTTCTGGGGGAGGCTGGAGGAGAGGCAGTTCTGGGGGAGGCTGGAGGAGAGGCAGGTTTGGCTTTTTCTTTCTCCTGAATTAGGGGGTAAAATTATAAAAAAAATAATTTAAAACTAGCTCAGACAACATGCGGCATTCCATCTAGGTATGTGGGTACATTTAATCTCTCTGCAATCGTATGGCTACAGATTGCCCATAGCCAAAATAGATTTTATAGCATTATTCAGTATACTTGGTGTTCATCATGGACTGATATGTTTATTTGCATTTTGTGCATCACAAAAGAACATGGAGCCCAGGCCTGAGCAAAGAAAAAAATTAAATAAAAAAATATATATTTATATTATTTATAAAAGCAGCAGCGAGGGGAAGACAGTGTGTGTTAAATGCACACTATGTACTTTGATGCAGTCTTTTTGGTTATGTGTAGCACACAACTAGTTAATCATTTTACTTCCAAAGACACAAGTGTATGTAGTTTCAGTCGTATGTTCTGCACTGACCTCCAGATTCCTGCGGGCCTGATCTTGTTCCTGCTTCTCCTGTGCCATCCTCTGTGCTCTTTCCAGGTCTGCTTTCTTCCGGTCTTCCTGCTCTCTTTCTTTTGCAAAGTTCTCAAAGTTGGCCCGGATGTTGCTGGCTTTAGTTCCCTCTGTAAGGCATATACATTAATTTTTTTTTTTTTCAAGAAACCAGTGGGGTCAATTATTCTACTTATGTAGAATATGATGTATACTGATCGGAAGAAATGGACCTGAACTCAAAAAGTAAAGATCTGCTATGTCATAAGGAACATGAAATATTAACCGTTCCCTGATAAGTACCCTTTGTCTTAAATTCATCCTAAATAGCATACATCCTGTGTGCCTAGGGTGTCAGAGTTGTATATCTGTGAGGACATGCAGCCTAAGGATCTCCTTTGCTCCTACCAAATTCATTTTGTGGATTTGTGCTTGCTCCACTTCTGCTGCTGCTGGCTTTCTCTTCTATTAGTTCTCAGACTACCAATAATCAGGGGGCAGGGACTGATATGATAAATGTAAATCATTTACTAAGATGGCAGCCTGGTTACAGGCGCCATGCAATGTGGGGAAAAAAATAAATAAATAACAGTTGCAGGAAGCCTGCATGCAATACTGGTGACTAGTCCTTTGTTGTTTGCCTTTTTTTGGGTTTACAGATTACACAGTTCTAAAGTACGGTCTGGGAATACAGGGTTTAATTACTTCTTGACATGAAGAGTTTGGAGCAGGATTTAAAGCTGAACTCAGAAGGTATATTAAAAATGGACCATTGCAATGAGCCTCCCCACCCACAAGGGTTAAATGCTTTTTTTTTGTAGGGGGGAGGGCAAAGCATTTATTCTTCCTGCATCTCGAACTCCTAAAAAAAAAATCTAATCCTGACACTGAAATACATGTTACTCTACATTAGAGCATAACTTGGTATCCTTATTTAGTTGCAGCAGAACTCCAGTACACACTGGAACAGACAAAATATGGAGCAGCTGTGCATGGCAACCAATCAGCTTCTCTCTTCAGTTTGTTAAGATTTGAAAAAGTATGACCTCTTGTTTCATTTTCAATATTGCACAAATTTCTAAAAATCCTAATTTATGTAATTAGGATTTTCACATGTTGCCTGATGTTCCAACTATGTTGATCCCATGTCTTACCTTGGGTGATCTGACACCAGGTCACCTGGGTATTAATTAGTCCCTGCATATGGATATTTATACAGCTTAGGTTACATCTTGCAAGTCCATAGGTCAAATAAAGCTGTGTCAGATATTTCCCAGAGGGTTTTTATTACTGACCAATTGATTGTATGTCCATGTGAAGTTACCAGTATCCTTAAATACTTCTGTAGTCAATTTTTTTGATATACCGAGTTTGTCCTAGCTGTTTTGTTACATGGCTCCGAGGTCCCACATGCTGTGTCTATTTCTATCTATTGGTGGGAGGTCGCCAGGCTGGATCCTTTATTGGGATTGATCTGCGCGTTTGTTTGCTGCAACTATGCGCACGCACATGCTTTGCCGCGAGTATCCGCGCACGTGATCTACCAGCCTGACGCAGCCATTGACGTAATGACGCAGTGCGGACATGCGCAATACATGTTATACTAATGAATTATATATATATATATAGATATAGATATGGGCACCAAAAGGAGGTAGCTTGATTTCAATGTAACATTGTATCATGTCAATGACATTTTAATTGTAACCAAGTCTTTATGTATTAAATATACGTTTATACAAAACCATGTATGTTTGATGGACGTCTTGTATGGTTTGGACACTTTTAAAGCCCCGCTTTTCTTTTCTTGTATACAATTCTAATTGGGGGTGTGGTGTCCATCCCTAATGGTTCAATTTAATTCCTATGCTTTAAACTAAGATTTGAAAATGAAAGAGAGGCTGATTGGTTGCCATGGACAACTGCTCCAGATTCTGTCTGCTCAAGTTTTGATAAATTCCCCCATTATGTTTTTATTCAATCAACAGTCAAATCAAACCTGTTCTAAGGAGCATGTGACTCACTGCATGCAGAGTTTTTAAAACATATCTATAAGCGAATATTGACCCTTTACCTTCTGAGGTCTTAGGATCTGGTAAGTTTGTTTTTTAATTTAAAAGTGTAATTCTACTTTCGGGATAACGCCTACTTTACATGCGTTACATGTTCTCATTTTCATAGCATAACACATCTTTAAAAATTGCTGCTTACCCAAGTGCGCTTTAAGGTCCCACCAATATTAATCTTATGTTGGGTGCTGTGGAGTTAGTGTTTGTCATAGTTAACCCCATCTGTACAGCACTGACAGATCTCTTCAGTTAACTAGATTTCAAACACTGTCTGTCCTAACAAAGGGATAAAGCTCTAGGGCAGGGGTGGGCAACTCTGGCCCTCCAGCTGAACTACAAGTCCCATGAGGCACTGCAAGACTGACGGTTACAGGTATGACTCCCAGAGGCAAAGGCATGTTGGGATTTGAAGTTAAAGCACAGCTGGAGGGTGGGAGTTGCCCAACCCTGATGTAGAGGCTTGGGTGCTGCCTTGTATGTTAATGAGGGGAAACCGACCATATCCCCATTTGTCCCTGTGAAAATACTCAGAATATAAAACAACATTTTAGCTCTAGTTACACTTCAACAAGCATTAAAGCTGAACTTCAGGATTAGAAGATATTGTCCAAAACAAGAGCCAAATGCATTGTTACTTAAATATTGGTGTGTTTTGTGTATTTCTTCCCAAAATCAGTGCAGTAACCCAGTCTGAAACTGTCACTGTGCAGGAGCTTCCTGTAATTAAAGATCGGCCGTTGCTGCTCTCTATCCTTGTGCAGGGTGACTGGTCTTGTATCTGCCCCCTCCTGCAGTCAGCGGGGCCTGTGGGCCCATCCTCCTGTTCTGCACAGGCGAATGTAGAATATATTTAAATGAATGTTTTTGTACCCGCACTTAAGCTTTAAAATACCTCCCAAACAATTCAAATCAAAAAGGACAGCCAAGAAAAAGGTCATCACATACCGACTTCCACTGGTCTAGTTTTTTGGTAACTTGATGACACTTTCTCCACATCTTCAAAGGAAGCAGCCGCCTGTAAAATGTAAACTCACTTGATCATCAAGTAATGAGCATTTATATGTGTTCTCTTTATTGCATACAAATACAAAGCATTAGCCAAGTCTACTGACTACATGACAAAAACAAAAGGAAAATGCTGTATGGCAACCATAGCTTTACAACACACACATTATGGATGAATGCAGAAACTGACCCAGGAGGTAATTGTGCCACCGTTTCTAGAACTCTACTTAAAGTGACACTAAACTCAGGAGCTAAATCTTGAAAAATGCATTCAAGTACCTTCACTATTAACAAAAATGTATCTTATTTGTGTATCACTCGGCTGTAGATCCTCAAATCATCTCTGAATTGGTGCCGACACTGTCCTTCCTTCTGGAGGGTGGCTACTTTTGTTCCCCATGGTCCCTGTGTGTGTTGTAAAGTAGTCACCGCTCAAAGCTCAGGCCCCTGATGGACTACAACCTCAATACAAATCAGTAAACTAAACATGAGATTGTAGTTCATCACAGGAGTGAGGTTGGAGCGGTGACTACTTTACAACATGCAGGAACCATGGGGAACAAAAGTAGCCCCCCTCCAGAAGGAAGGACAGTGTCGGCACCAATTCAGAGATGATTTCAGGATCTACAGCCGAGCGATACACAAATAAGTTATAGTATTGCTAATAGTTAAGGTATTTAAATGCATTTTTTTTAAAGAATTAACTCCTGAGTTTAGTGTCACTTTAACCAGTTGACATCCGCGGTGTTAAACCCCCTTCCCATCCAGGCCATTTTTCAGTATTCAGCGCAGATTCTTCCCTGAGACACAGATAAATAGCACAAATAGTTTGTTTTCTGTAATATATGAAGCTACCTTATCCATTCGATCTTTCTGTACACCATATTTTCCACCGAATCCCTTGGAATAATCTACAAGCATATGTTAAAACCGTGTTAGATGGGAAAAGCGTCACATTTAGAATAAAATTAAAAGACAATACGTAATTCTAAACTAATTGGAAAACAAAATCAGCTTCCATTTGCAACAGACTACTGCAAGGTGAAGGCTTGCTTGCTTTTACATTTGATATAGCAATAGCTGCCATACAGATCATTTGAAGTCAATTGCGTCACTATAAAAAAGGATGAACTAAGAAGCGAGAGAACAAATGTAAAAAGCACTATGGACAGTCGGGGGACTAACCAGCACCACAGCAAGCAAAACCACTTATACCACCTATTTCAGATATCTGCACAGTGCTTGCCAGGTTAGCTATTTGGAAGCTGAAGGCAGCTTTAAGGTAAGCCCGAGTCTGCCATTTACGTCCTCTCATCCTAAAAATGCTAGTTACCTGGCTGCCATGCAGACACTCTTCAATAATTTTACTAACTGAACCAAAACAAATATGGACTGAAAAGGACTTCTGTAGCACAATGTAATGCGCACGACTTTTTCTTGACTCAAAATATGCTAAAGTTATTGGGTCAGCATAGCAGTCAGCTCCCATATAGAGAAGGTGGTTTGCAATGGCACTATCCATATTTCTCCCATGACATTTTTTTGAGTTCAGGTCCATGTTTAAGTAAAAGTTCAGATGTTTCATCTTATAGGGAGACATCTAGAGACTTGAATTCTGCAATGTTTCTCAGATTTTACTTTAAGGCTACAGGTTTCATGGGACACCCGTATTCAGGGTATAATATGAAACATGGTCACATGGCAAGCTCCCCACCCGCACTTACCCGAATCGCAGGGTTCTTCTTCCCCCAGGATGTTGAAAGTTTTTGAATGTGGCGTGGCTCATCCATTCACAGATCCTTTGACTGGCTCTGTAAATGGAGAAACTTCCCGTCCCACCTAACACTGTGGAAGGACTTTTAGTTCTCAATGGAATATAAAAGTGGTGACGTCACAACACTTGTATCCCATTTATACTTTCTTCTGTCCCTGTTCTAGGACGTCCATACCTCGGTATGGACATGAACTGGAGAAGAGTCTGCAGGAGTCAGAGCATTGCATCCACAATCTACTGATCACCGTTGCAATGCTTTACTATCTCCAATACAAATTCTCAATGGAATACAAGAGCGGGGACATCATTGACAGGAGAAAGTATGAATGGACTAAAAGGGCAATGATGTCCCCGCTCCTGTATTCCATTGAGACTGTGCATTTATTTGTATTGGAGATGGTAAAACATTGCAACGGTGATCAGTAGATAGTGGGTGCAATGCTCTGGCTCCTGAAGACTCTTCTCCAGTCCATGTCCATACAGATGTACGGACCTTTTGTAACAGCGACAGTAGAAATTATGAATGGACTAAAAGGGCACCGTTATAGACTGTTCGTACCTCTGTGTGGACTGGAGAAGAGTCTGCAGGAGCCAGAGCATTGCACCCACTACTACTGATCACCATTGCAATGCTTTACGATCTCCAATACAAATAAATGCACAGTCTCAATGGAATACAGGAGCGGGGACATCACTGCCCTTTTAGTCTATTCATATTTTCTCCTGTCACAGTTACAGAAGGTACGGTCCTCGGTATGGACATGGACAGGAGAAGAGTCTGCAGGAGCCTGAGCATTGCACCCACTGTCCACTGATCGCGGTTGCAATGCTTTACTGGCTCCAATGCAAATTTTTTTTGCTTAAAGGTGGACTTTGCCTTTAAATTGGATTTAATAAAACTTGGAAGAAAAGTGAATGGTTTTGACAGACGTAATGAAAAAGCAATTTCTGCAAAATAGCATTTTGAATACTACCTAATAAAAAACACAAAACATATGTAAACAGAGTCTGAGAGCACTTTTTAATGTAATCATCATACATCAGCTGAAAAGGATACCTGATGTGATTAAATGCATACCAACTGTGGAACCAAGATTATCACTGCATTAACAGGGCTAGTCGGTTATCTTAGTGGTTATATTGTTAATTATGTAAGTATTGGCTTTTAGTTATCCTGAACTTTTAGCAGAACTCAAGCCACAATAATAAAAAAAATCTAGGGGAAGGCCTCCATGCAAACGAAGGGCCTGTGTCAACAGGCTTTGGGCTTCTGTTGATGGCATTAGTAGGAGATGCTTCTGAGATCCTTCAGAATTCCTTGTGCATTTGACCCGCGTCTGACTTGGTCCATGCAAGTTCTGCATTCACATGGAACAACAGACTTATTGAAGTGAAAAAAAAGCCATTTGACACAGGCCCTGATCAAATGATCACTGCCATGGAATACAGCTGCACTGAAGATATCTGCACCCGCTATACAAACCAGCATAGCAGGATTAAATCTACAGAAATAGTTTTCCTGATTTAAGTCAGTGTAGTGAAGGTTGCAGGAGAGCCTGTAAAAGTCAAGAAATTAAGATAAAAATTGTAATCCCCTTGATGAATTGTGGATGTTTGTTAGGGTGAAATACCCATCACACAGTATAGGGTGGAGCAGACCATGGGAAGGTATGACAAGGACAGACAAAACACAGAATGGTTGTACTTTCACAGAATACCTTTTTGGGACTCATGGAGCTGCAGTTTCTCTTGGTGATCCCAGCCAAGTGCACACTTGTCTTGTCTGTCTGTCTGCACACCAAACTTTCCTCCAAACCCTTTCACATAGTCTACACACACAGAAATCCACGAGCCATTAAACAGAAATGACACCCCATGCACATTTGACAGGTTATGAATTACCGATGTGTGCTGCTTAGTACTTCATATTAGAAGGGTAAAGGTTTTAGGTTGACCACGTTAAATGGAAATTGCAGGTCTTTAAACATCTAGAGAGCTATAATTTTTTTCTGCTCTCATCTGTGCTTTTATCAGTTTGAAAATCAGACATATTGGTGAGTAGTGATGGGACTAAAAGAGGTCAGCTAGAAGAAAACAGCTTGATCTCTGGTTCTAGACTCATTTTTGTTTTGGATTGAGTAGGGAAGGGTTTAAACCCGGTGAGGTTTTTTTTTTTGCTGTGTTCCTTTGTGGAGATTTTCCTTAATTTTTCTGTCTCATGACACAACAGGAAGTGAAAGGAGATCTCTCCAAAGGAAGGGGCAACCTCCCTATAAACAGCTGCCACTGGAACACATGTCCACATAAGACTTCCTCTCCTGTTCCAAAGAGAATTCGACATTTGGGAGACTCACTTTCAGTCCTGACGACAACCATCAGGACAAACGGAGAGGTTGAAAAACCTGACCTGAGGTTTTAGCCCTTATCCAAAATGAAATAACAGAATGTTGCTATGTACATAGGCCAGCACAATGACCATAGGGGAAGGACATAACAGATTACAAATGCCCCCATAGGCTTTTAAAGGCCATCCCTCATAACTCATTTCAGTTTAAGTTGGGCACCTGAGGGCTGAATCACTCAACTTTGACCTTACCGAGATATCATCAGTTTTCTCTGAGCCACTCATCAACTCTGACCTCAAAGGGAGGACATCAGTATTTCTCCAATAGTAGGTCCATGCAAATATTTATTTAGTCTTAATTAAGCTGGCCATACACCTATAGAGTATCTGCAGATTTCCTATGGTCAGATGAAAAAAGTTCAGATTCCTCCATCTACGCTACACTGTGCGGATGGAGGAATCTCCCGCTGGGCCAAGCTTCAGTATCTTGCCAGTCGGCCCCGCTGGCTCTCAAAATACCTGAACACTCTGATTGGATGCAGGCATTGTTCAGGTGTTTTGAGAGCAAGCGGGGCCGACTAGCAAGATACTGAAGCTTGGCTCAGCGGGAGATTCCTCCATCCACACAGTGTAGCGTAGATGGAGGAATCTGATGCACTTATTCCATCCGACCATAGAAAATTTGCAGAAAATCTATAAGTAAAGCGCTGCGCAAACTTTTGGCGCTATATAAATCCTGAATAATAATAATAAATAGGTGTATGGCCAGCTTTACAGAGATGTAATAAGGGAAGAGCATGATATGATCACCACTTTGGACAAGTGGTGTTTGTTGGCTTCTGGTGGGAACATCTTGTTTTTGGAGTATTTGGAAAACATGAAGCCGGCTAGTGATCCAACTCTGCGGCACTCACACAAACCTGAGAAATCAATTTGCTAGGTGGGTTGGCCTTGGAAAGTCTTAAACTTTGGTTAAAATAATATTAAAGTGAATTGTTCCATACTACAAAATACATAAATGAAACTATGGACATCAGTCGAGACCTATGGCAATTTCCATTTTACTGATCAATAGAAAGAACTTGGTTGATGCCAAGCCTCTTTCTATAAGACAAAAGAAATGAAATATCAAGGAGGTCACATGATATAAAAAGGGACACACCAAGCATGAGAATAGGGAGGACAGTATCATTAATCCTTTCCTTCACCTTGCCACCAAGCAGCATACGGGAATATTACAGTTGGTTTGTAAACATGGAGAAGGAACAGGCAGCAAGAGGAGGACATCTGACAAACAGATGTAAAGGTCGGTTTCCCAACAAATCGGTCAGTGATGGCAGCACTGTACATTTAATTTACATGATGATGAAATGCATTTTTAAAATATAGGGATTTGAATTGAGGCAAAAGGTGGGCTTCTAGGGCGACCGTCACCCTGGAGAGCCTTTTAAACAGCTGACGAGACAACATGGCTGGTAATTGTTTCCACATGAAAGAGTTTCCCATTTTATGGACAATGCCTTTAAATTTTGTATCAATCGCTGAAGTCCATTTGTAAAGTTGCTGTTTATGGTGCTAGTTATGCAAAGTTTTACTAAAGCAGAACTAGGCAGCACCATGCCATCTGCAATCCAAATAGAGGCTAAGAGGGCACCTTCTTTGGCTGTAAACGATAAGAGGGCGTAGTTCTGATTTAAATATTTTTCAGGCACAATTAAAATTTCCTATTCACTTGAGTAACTGTGATGAGAAGGAATAGAGCAGGGCGAGGGGTAACTGTCACGTTATACGTAGCCTATTTCCCTGCCTTTCGGAAAGTGTATTCTTCCATGTAGTGGTGTTGTGTAGGGCATGTGTGGCTCTATTGCTTTGCAATGCTGACTGTCAGTTCTAAACCCAATTACAGGAAGGGAAGACACAAGGTTGACCTCATCAGTGTGCTGTTAAACTTTTTCTGTTCAACCAGCAGGCAGGGGGAGAAGTGGTGACCAAAGGAGTATACCTACAGCCATTTTTTCCTATAATCATCCATTAAATGGACAAGTGCCATTTCCATCTTTACATTGGTAGGCAAGTGTAAAGTTTTAGCATGCGTTTCAATTGTAGCTGCAAGTACTCTGAATTTGCAAAAGAAAGAAAGGCATGGGATAATATAGGGGGGGCAGGGGGGACAAAAAACCCCACACATGTTCATCAAATTGCCATCACTGACCTCGTAAATGCAAAACCACCATGTTAAACACAGATTAAAGAACCCAAACGAAATTAAGAGTATTTTCTTTTCATAATAGTTTTTTTCTTTTTGTAGGATTCATGCACTAAATAAGTTTTCTAAAAACACATCTTCAGTCATTTCCAAACATCTCCCAGTGTTCATATTTCAAGTTTCACCCCCCAACCCCATACGGTGCATGTGTGGGCAGGACGGGACAGGGGCCACGGTGAAGGCCACTGGTCTGTAGGAAATAAAAAACAATTACTGATACAAAACCTTTTTGCGATTCGTGCTTCTCAGTCTTCCCTTGGTAGTCAAACCCGACAGCACTTTTGTCCACATTGTCCTTATCGACACCGTATTTACCGCCAAAGCCTTTGGAATAATCTAATACAAATTTGAAATAAATATGAAGTCAAATAAGGGATTTTGATGCAGGCGCATAGTGGAGTAAGTAGGTTTAGTGATCTAGAAGGCTGCGTTTCAGCAAAGCTTTCCGCATTGCTGTGAATAAGCTACGATACTAGATTGTAAGCTCCCACGAGCAGGGCCCTCCTACCTCCTGTACTGAAATTGTATTGTCTCCCTCAGTTTTGTTAAGTGCTGTGCAAACTGTTGGCGCTATATAAATACTGTATAATAATAATAGTAACAATTTGATCTGCTATTCAATACACACGTACAGCTGCAACATGAATGTACATGAATGTGCAACATGAAATGCATTTGAGAATATATTGACTCGCGAGGGCGTTACAAACCTTTCTGAGACTCATGCTTTTCGGTCTTCCCCTGGTAATCAAATCCTACAGCACTCTTGTCCACACGGTCTGCCTGCACACCGTACTTCCCACCGAAACCAGTAGAATAATCTGTGGGATTGAAAAGTATTAGCCGATTATAATGACTTGGAAAGGACCTTTTCTTTGTGTGTGTGGTCTCTCTCTTTAACCTCTTGCCGTCCGCCCGTAGTAAAAAAACGGATAATGGCAAATATATGAAATAAATGAATTCCGTAATTTATGCATTATAAAACATGAACGGTTTATAAATACACTCAGACTAAAGTACCCAAGTCTGTCTTGATATACATTTCCGGCTATCCCCAGAACAGAAGGACTAAACTAAACTTCTCCAGGCAAGGCATAGCTGTAAAAGAGTGTAAATACATAAAAACCCGGCACAGCTGAATGAGCTCTGTTCACAAGTAATGGTCCTCAGAAATCTGGAATGATAGTCAATCCCCCCCTGGGTTCCTCCCAGTTCTCACTAGTTTTTCCTGCTGACCTCCATGCCCTTACAGAAGAGAGTAGTGACATGGTCAGTGGGAGGAACCAGTGAGAGCTATGGGGAGACACAAGAGATTAGTAAAGTGGCAATGGACGATTGATCGTGAGCGGTGTAGGGTTCAGCATTGTTGGCAGCAGCAGAGGTAAGTACTCAGGTATTCCTAGCCTGAAGTTTAGTATAGAAACAGAGTCAAAGTTTTCTTTAAATACCATGTTTCAGGTTACTCCTATTTAGGGAAGCACGGTCACATGTAGAGCAACCCACCCCATCCCTCTACATAGCAGAATCACGAGGTTCTCCTCCTCATAGGCTCCTGTAATATTTTCTATGTGGTGCAGGATTGTGGGCAGGATCTGTGACTGGGAAGACTACAAGTCGAGTTTGCCACCACAGCAGAGGGACTTGTACTCAATAGAGTATAAGTGTTCGATTCCATTCATTCCTCCTCCTGTGCCTGCATCAAAAAGTCCGTACCTGGGTACCGATAGGGACTAAAAGAGGTCTGCAGGAACCAGAGCACTGCAAAGCTTTAATGGTTCCAATACAACAAAAATAATAAATGCAAATGTTTTACTTTTATGAATGATGGAGTTTGCATTATTATTTTTCTGTAAAAGGTGGTCAATGTGCTGCCCACGGCTGCAACTTTCCCTTAAATTTGGGGCCTATACATTTTATTAAAAAACAACAGACTGATTATTTTCAATTAAATTAGCAGGTGAACACTTCAAAATACAGCAAACTATTACTTTTCCTTGCAGTGGAAGAGCAGATACTATGCAGTCCAGGGTCTGTGTCTCACCATTCCTCTGCATGACAGATCAACAGCATAGCTTTACCAGAATAGGGCTTTACTTGTTGTTACTAGCTGGGCAGGAGAAGGGTCTACAAGGGGGGCAGGCATCCTCCAGCTGTTGTGAAACTACAAGTCCCAAGAGGCATTGCAAGACTGACAGTTACAGGCATTACCCCCCCCGAGGCATGTTGGGAATTGTAGTTAAAGCACAGCTGGAGGGCCGGAGTTGCCCACACTTGCGCTACATACAGGTCCCATTTACTCTAATTCTTTTTCATGTGCCTTAGAGGCATGTGACAGCATGCTTAGACTTGTAGTTCCTCTGAACCTGCAGGCTCCCATGACTAGTGTAGGCAGAATTGTCTGCTGTATGAATCAAGTCCGCAAATATTGTTTTTAACTTCTGCTGAACACGGAAATGTCTTATTTGTGCTCAATGTTGTTTTGTACATTCCTGGGAAGAGCGATGCCCCTCACTACTTGACAGGGTTATAGCAGGCCAACCCTTGCTGCAGGCTACTTGTCAGGAATCGCATTTCTCGCTTTGACACAAACCTTTCTGGGATTCATGCTTCTCCGTTTTGCCCTTGTAATCAAAGCCCATGGCGCTTTTATCCACTCGGTCAGACTGAACTCCATATTTGCCCCCGAAGCCGCTGGTGTAATCTGAAAAGGCGACAAGTTTTGTTACGCAACAGCGTCAGGAGTTTACAAAATGAAAAATAAAAATCAAACATTCTCTAGAATTATTTAAATACAATTTAGCTTTAGAGGCCAGCTTCCTGGTTTCATTTCAGCACAAATAATACTCTGTATTAAAATGATACACTTCCTGGTAAGTAAGCTATACACTCGGCAATGCAGTCTGCACTTAAAACTGAACTCCGGACAGACACAAAAAATCCACCTACATATAATCCTCAATAACAAAGTATATAAATCCACTTTGTGTGCACCAAATGCCTTTGCAAACCCATCAGTCTCTCTCTCTACTTTCTACAGGCTGAGCAGCTACAGCCATCAATCCGACCACAAGAATTCACAGACTGAATTCACTGCCTGACCTAATATCCAAGTGTGAACGAGGCCTTAAGCTGCAAAACAACACCGGCGCCTTCAAATCCAAAAAGAGCCCAGCAGTAAAAATACAGCAAACACGATGGAGGCAGCTCCCACAGATTAGATGGACCACCAGTCTATGAGAAAAGAAACAAAAGAGCGCCTTCATAGTGTAAAAATTTTATTTAATAGTAAAAACACGCAGCTCTGAGGCTGTACTTACAACAGTTCGGTAGAATAAAAACCAGTAGAATAAAGGTGAGAGGACGGAACCCCTGGCAGGGAGAATCTGGAGCGATTTAAAACACCAGTAACCTGGATCCCTGTATTGATAAATGGTTTACGCGTTTCTGGGGCATGTCCCCTTCATCAGAACCCCCAATGGATTGGTTCTGATGAAGGGGGCGTGCCCCAGAAACGCGTAAACCATTTATCAATACAGGGATCGAGGTTACTGGTGTTCTACATCGCTCCAGATTCTCCCTGCCAGGGGTTCCGTCCTCTCACCTTATTCTACTGGTTTTTATGCTACCGAATTGAGGCCTTAAACTGGCCATACACTTGTAGATTTTTGTTCCTGCCGTCATCGAACCCTTGTTCGATTTCCACTCAAACACCCCATCATGCGTAGTCCAGGGTCTATTTCGAAAATCGGTAGTTCGACATACTAACCATCCAATTTTCGTTTGCGCATGTGCATTGTTTTTGCTGCGATTTATTCCGTACGAAAACGCCACTAATCCATCAATTTTCAGGCGATTCGAAAAAAATGTCCAGCTCGACCGATCGAGGAAATTTGGCCAGGAGCACAGTAATTAAAATCATTGGGTTCCCAGCAACTGATCGATTATCATTCGACAGCCTGTGTTCCGAAAAAACACCCCCAAAAAACGGAGTGTATGGGCGACTTAATGAGCAGTAATTAGGTTTTGAACTGCTCAGTCTCAACCAAATGGTGTATTAAAAAAGGTGGGACGCAGCCCATCCAGGGTTCATGAATCAGTCAGCCCAGCAGCCATTCAAGAAACTACAAAAAAAGGGTCCCAATAAAATAAAATAAAAATGTTCCAAGTTAGGGCAAGACCCGAGTTTTTAGGCACCATGGCTATAAGACCACTAGAATTTCTCCAGCACCAAACAGTCCACATGCTGAGGATTTTAAGTGTATGTAAAAAGTAAAATTTCCCTTTTTTTTTTTTAGTTCTGGATAGAGTGAAGGATTAGATCCTCTACATTTATATTACCACCTGTGAGACTGACCCCGCCATGTGTCCTGATGACCATCACAGACAGAAAGTGAAGGGAAGTCCAAAATGGTCAAGAAGCGAGGGTAACAACAAATAGGGGGACAAGTGTTCTGATGACAAGGGACTAAAAGCTGGCCATACACAGATCAAATTCTGCCCCTTAGCCTGAAACTCAATTCACGTTCAGCCCCATAGGGCCAGCTTTAGATGGGAAGTCCCTTCACTCGAGAGATTTCACCTACATCACTGGACAGGAAGTGAAGTGAAAATCTCCCCAGCTGAACACATACAAAAAAAAAAATCTACTTCATCCAACCGCCCCCCCTCCCCCCCCACCCAAAAAAGTTTTAGCTATACATACAATACACTTCAATGGAGCTTGTAAGATCAAACTTTCGTCTAAATGGTTGCTCCGGGACATAAAAAAAAAGGACACAGAAGTTCTTACCTTTCTGGGATGCATGTTTTTCGGTCTTCCCTTGATATTCAAAACTCAATGCAGACTGCAAGATAAAGTATTATTAGTAAGATATGGAATATACAGGTCAGTTTTACACATCAGTTCAAGGATGTTGGGGAACTGGAGCGAGGGCAGAGAAGGGCGACTAAACTGATGACATGGAGGAGATCAGCTATGAGGAAAGAACAGCTGGACTGAATTTGTTCTCATCACCACATATAAATGGTCCATAGTGAACTTGATACAAAATTATTTTACTTTTAAAAAGGTCATTGCAAAGGACAAAAGGACACTCTGTGCCTGGAGGGAAAATTTTAAAGAATTTTTAATTTTTAAAAGGTTTACGCTTCCCATACAGAAAGGCTTCTTCAAAAGGTGGAATAGGCTTCCTCAGGAACGATTTTCTAGCCAGCTCAGGGGTTTTTTTTTTTTTACAAAAATGCTGGATGCATTCCAGAATATAAAGGAATATTAACATTTATAATAAATCGGAGGTTGACATTTACAGATTTTGTTCATTTAATATGATCTTAGTGAGATATTTCAAGATCAAATCTCATGTTTTTTTTTACAGCTCTGTGGATGTCTAGAACATCTCCCCTTCATCTCTTCCGGTTCTGGTGACTACTCAACATTTTGGATTTCCCTTCACTCTTAGTCCCGTATCAATGGTCACCAGGACAAAAGGATACATATTCCAAAAGGCGTTGGGGACTTTTTTTGGCTTCAGTTCTACCTTACTTTGTTCTCAGTTTTGGTTATAACCCCAGTCAGCTTTTTTTTTTGCCATCTGCGCCCTATTGGGGAGAGGGAAATACCCGCTGGTCAGCAGGGTCACTAGAACTAGTCTTAGTGTTCCCACTGGGAGATTTCCCAACCATTCCTGTTCTGGCGACAACCCAAAATTTGGGATTTTTTTTTCACCTTCACCAGCAGAAAAGGAGAGGGTGAATCTCCCTGGCGGGGACAGACAGCAGAATAAAAAAAAATTCAACATCCTGTCCCACACTGTCACCCCAAAATCAGTGTAGTAGGGCACGTGGCCAACAGTCTATAAATCTAAAGCAGAAATAGCCAGCACTTAGTTCCTGAATTCCTTAGGTGACTGGCTGGAAGGCTGTAGGTGTGCTGGAACAGTGCACCTTGCTCTAAGAAGCTAGTTATTGTTTGCTGGGACACACTTGTGATCTTTAGCTGCCTGTGTGTTGTGCTTCTGGTGAGTATCTGCACCTTGGAGGACTTTGTTACCTCCAGGCATACTGGCCTTTAACCCCTTCGTGACGGGAGACGTACACTGTACGTCCAGCCACAAAGGGACCAAATGACTTGTCACGTACACTGTACATGACGAGTTATTTGCTTCTTTAGAGGGCTGTTAAACGCTGAGAATCAGCTTTTAACATTCATTAATGGCTGCCCTTACTACAGAGGCATTCATTAATGAAAGGGTTAACCTTTTTCAGACACCCGATACCTTAATATCGGGTGTCTGAGAGTCAAAGCAAAGCGGACACAGATGCCGGCTTTTGCCGGCATTCTGACAGCTCGTATAGATCGAGAGATATCTCTCTCAAGCTATACTGGTTTTTTTTTCTTTTTTTCTTTCATGAATAGATACATAATGTGTCTATTCCTACAATGTATCTATTCCTGGAAGAAGAATGTTTCAGTTTGCTGATCGTTGTTGCAACAATCAGAAAACATTTAGTAACAGCTGAATCCTGAACTGCTGCAGGATCAGTGTCACTAACTTATTATCGGCTGTTCTGAAGTTTGAAGCAGCCTGATAATAACCAAAAATGTATTAATTTATCATGCAGTAACAGTGAGATTAATTCACAATGACTGTTTGATATAATTAAATAAAATACAATTTTTAAGTTTAAAAAAAAGTGAAAAGTGTAAAAAAAAAAATGTGTAAAAAAAATAAATAAAATAAGGGACAAATAAATGAATGTATTTATTGCATTTTTTTTAGCTGTGCTGGTGTTGTAAAAAAATACTACAAATCAAAACTGGGAAAAAAGTGTTTTTTTTAACGTTTTTTTTCTCTTTTTTTATATTTTATTTGTCCTAAGTGAGGCGTTAGACACACATATGTGATATAAATATGTAGCCCTATCTGTCCTCTAAAAAACAATATATAATATGTGTGGGTGCACTTTGTAAGAAAGTATATTCTGACGTGGAAGAATCACACGGCAACAATGTCAAAAGTGTGTCAGTCATTTACGAACAGAAACTAAAAACAAGCTCAGTCATGAAGGGGTTAATCTATTTATTGCTGTGCATGTCCACGTTTGAAAGCTTTGTTAGATAAGGGACATTATCCAGAGGGGTCTTGATGGGGCAGTGTGTGGCTTCCATATAGTAGCATATATTTGCAGCAAATCCATGCGATCCACCCGGCGCGACTGGGGTGCCATTAGAAAATAATGGCACCCACAGCGCAATTGGCTGCAGTGGGCGACTGCGTGGTCAGCAGTCACCCAGGAGTGAACCTAGCCTTATCCTTTCTGTGGTGTGCTGGTCCTAATCTGCTGTCTGATCCATATAGTAATGCAAAACAAAACACTATACTTCCCAGATCCATGTCTCCTGCGTATAAATAACACAAACGCAGAGGCCCGCGTGGATAAAGCCTCAGGCCGATAGGATACGGGAGTTCTAATACGGGAGTTCTAATACTTGCAAACATCGGTCTCCGATCACCAGTGAACACGGACTGCTCTTGCTTAAGGAAAATTATGTCTTTTTAGTCTGCCTGTCACACCGGATTCCGGAGCACGACAAATGATTTTCTTATGACTCGCTAACTGCTCACAGAGCAAGCATGTCATTGTGACATCCATACAATTGTTCAACTGGGTCGCCTTCAGTACTGTTGCCTGGATGGGCTGAGCAATTTGATGTGAGGTTTGTAAAAGTGATGACAAGAAAGACGATATTCATGCTGCAAGGTTATTGCTGAATGTCATTTGCTCAGAGTCCTCTTTCAAAACCCAACATCTGGAAAAACTTTTTTCTTAGGGGTTGATTTATAAACAATATGCAAAGCCATTCACCTTGCGACTCTCTGAATACCCATACAGTGCAAATCGAGGCAAAAACTAACGTTCTTGGCATATTTTCTTTTCAGGTCAAATGTAATGTTCACATAATACAGCAGTGTGGCCTCTAGATGGAGCTGAAGAGCATAAGAAACAAATACTCTTTCCTACGCTCTTCAGCTCCATCTAGTGGACATAATGAGGTATGTTCAGATTATTACATTCAACCTGAAAAGAAAACAAACATAGTAAGAACATTCGTTCACAGATATATGCGGGGTGAATGGCACTGCAAATCATTTATAGACTCCTTAGTGTTGGATAGGCTAATGGAAGGTCTTAATTATGTGTCCCAAGTAGAGACATTCAGACAGAAATCTATCCAACATTTTCATTCGAGTTTGGCTTTAAATTCGACATTGTCAAAAGGACTCCACATCACCTTATCCACTCGGTCTGTCTGGACACCAAACTTTCCTCCAAATCCTTTCACTGAATCAGACTGGGAACAGTGCTTGGAAAGCTTTGCTTGATATTCATGTCCAACCGCAGACTGCAATAAAAAATAAAATGCTATGGGTAAAGCACGAGTCGGTAAGATTTACCAGACAATATTTTAGGTCACTATAAAAAGCAATTCAATGCAAACAGCTAAATACTGGACTGGATGGACAAAAATACAGGTAAAACAGCTCTCATAGGTCTTTCATTTAGGATTTACACAACTTTGCCAAACAGTGCAGGCAGGAGACCTCATTTTTTTTTAGTGCTGCAGTTCAGTATCACTTACAGGTCTCGTCACTCCCCAACCTGTGACTGGATAGTGAGAGGAGAAGCAGCTCACGTCTCTCAGTCACTGTGCTCTCCTCCTATTAGCATGCTCTTTGTCAGCACATGAGCACCACAGCTGATTGGCTCCTTGTGCTGCTTATACATCTACCATTCTGAGCTCTGCTGTATAGAGAACTGCAAAAGGCCAAAACCAAGTCACCCCCAGGTAGTTACAACCACATTTAGCATGCAACATGGAATGTGGTGCCATTCTGCAGGACCCCCACTTACCTAAATTGTGGAGCTTTTTTTTTTTCTCACAGGTTTCCGAATTTGGCGTGCCTGTGCATGGCTTCATCCGCACAGCCATGTCATTCAGCCACATGACCATTCACAGGATCTGGGATTGAAATAACTGCAAATCCCATCTGCCACTGCAGCAGAGGGACTGGTAGTTTTCAAAGGAGTGCAAGTGCGATGACGTCTGCTAGCCCCATAACAGAAGGTCGGTACCTTGGTAGATACCCAGGGCTGGAGGAAGAGTCTGCAAGAGCCTCAGCATTCCACCCATGATCCATTAATCATGGTTGCAATGCTTTGCAGGCTCCAATGCAGAAAATATATAAAAACACATTTTTTATTTTTTGCAATGTAGGTGCATCAATTATTATTTGCGAAAGGTGAAATATGCATCTAAAGCAGCATTTTCTCAGTCACGGCACCCTTTAACTATATGCACAATCTTGAGGCACCCCAGTCTAAAATAAAACATGTGTACCCCACCAAAATCCATACCAAACCCTTATACCAGATAGGGGTCTGGTATGGATTTAAAGGGGGAACTCCATGTAAAAACACACAAAAATGTGGTTCTACCTTCATATGAGCGTCCCTTTTTCATATCAGGAGTCCCCCATCCCCCCCTTTTTACATTAGAGTCCCCTTCACATCAGGAGCTCCCTTTTACTTTAGAGTTACTTTCAGAGTCCTCACTCACCCCTCCATAGCAGAGAAGCTGCGGCACCATGGCAGAAGGCAGAGCAGGCCTGGATGGAAGCAACCTACCATCCTTTTCGGAATGTGTCGGAATCATTTGTTTCCATGATGCTGGCAAACATTTCAAGACACTCCTGAGGAAGCCAGCAGGCACCCCAGGGTGCTGCAGCACACTGGTTGAGAAAGGCAGCTCTAAAGCATTCTCTCGTCTTCTCAGTACTGCCATTCTGACCAGGTTTGTAAATGCATGTCTGCAGTGAGCTTCATCATTGTCTACAGTGCAATTCTGTATGCGTGTTTAGAGGATTTTACAGCTCCATATACACTGAGTGGCCAGATTATTATGACCACCCCATCAGTACTTAGTTGGGCCGCCTCGTGACTCCACGAGATGTTGAAAGGTGATGCGAGGAATCTGACACTGCACTGTTGCCCTTCTGTTGTCTTGTACCAGTCTTGCCACTCTCCGTTCTGCCCTAACATTGACTAGTCGCTGACTGCCACAATTCGCACGTTCAGACCCAGATTTTCGGCTGACAGTCCAGTCTTTAAACACTTTAACAACAGCTGCTCTGAACATTTTTGATAGCTGCATCTCTGGTCATGTGACAGAAACTTGGCATAAGATGACAGGAAAGTCTTCCTAATGCCTGCCAGACTCAGCCTGGAATTAGAGATTATTCCACTAACCACTTCCTATACCGAGCAGCACTCATCTGAACATTAAAATGACTCAGCATGAGTCAAGTCACGCCGTGGATCCACTGGCTGCTGTACAGTGCCTTTATTAAGACATCCTCTTGTTTGGTAGCGGTTTCCCGGCTTGATAGCAGCACAGCAAACTGGTCTCTGAGATCTATCAGTGTCGCAGCTGCCAAACCAAGCTGAGATACAATGGGCTCTCTAACGCTTCAGAGGCCTCAACTTAGCAATTCTAAACCTCCATGCATACCGATAGCCCTTGCTCACAGGAAGTGCACGCCACACACTGTAAGAATGCACGGTACTGCATCTGCAATATAGGACATTCTACCAAACATTGAAGGTTCGGGGATTGTATCATTGTGACGCAGGAGAAAAGCGACAAATGGGTCTCATGAATTTAAAAATTAGTTCTGGGACCTAAATTCAGTTTTTTATAGGACAGAGAACAAAAAGGTTGAAATGGTTGCAAAGCAAATCCCAGTGTACTGACAATGTACTTCTTTTAGATACAAGAGCCCCCAAATTTGTATTTATAGCTTGTAATCCTATCAAGATATTTCCTTTTATACAGGACATTTCCCCTTTCAACACTTTTTCATATTTGTCCACTTACTTTCCCAAATCAGTTGTGTAAAATTCTGATTACTATAACAGAACCTTGTGTCTTATTTCATGTTGCCACTATCTACTTATACATTTCGAAGAGAGAAATTGTAATGGTTTTGAGATTTACAGTTTTCTATCCCAGTGTTTTCAAATGTTTAAATTTTTGCCTATTACATGCATCTTTTTTTTCTTTTTACTAACATTTAAGAATGGCACTTTCAAAAGGAACATGCTGGGCTTTTTAATGTAAAAGCCCAGCACTAGCTCATGTTTAAGTACTTATTCAAAGGAGAACTATGAGGTGAGTGATTTCCTCTCATCCTCATAGTTAGAGCCGACCTGTGACAAAGAAGCTGTCACAGGTCGGCTCCATCGATCGGGAAGTGAGCAGAAACATGCGGCCGATCTGCTCACTTCCTGATAGTCTCCCTGCAGTAAGCGGTGACTGTCAGTCACCACTCCCCGCAGGGATTACCCCCTCCCCGCTGAGTGTAGGAACGGATGGGGAAGGGGGCGGGTACTGCTGGCTCTGCCTCTAGATAGGTAGAGCCCCGTCAGTCACGCAGCTAGGTGGATCCAGACAGTACTGTCGGGATCCGTCCCGGCTGCGGCATTCTCAGTATATCATGGGCAATAGCCTGCTATATACTGAGCTTTAGGTCACGGGAGGAGGTTAGTATATGTCCTCCTGTGACCCTAAAGAGAACTATGGGGAAAAACACTTACCCCCATAGTTCTCTTAACAGGGCACATTAAAAAAAATGTTTTCCAAGTGCCCTGTTCAAATCACACACGTGTGGTGGTAAGCAGATCAATGCATTTCAACAGACATGGTGTAAACAAGCCCTAAACCAACTAATGCTGTCAAGTAAACACAGCAACTGCGCCTAAATTAGAACGTTCACACAGTCTTCCTTAATGCACGTTGTGTGTAAGCACACAGATCTCCATATAGAGTCAGAAGGTTGGCAGTAGCAGTGCATTCCCTAAAGCATGAAATGTGTAAGTAGTCGCTCCCAATACTCTCCATAAAAGATACTGTTGATGCTTCTCCACTACAGTTCAAAATGCCTTAGTCAACAAAAATGTTTTGAGGTTCTACACCCACCTTGTCCATACGGTCCTTCTCCACACCAAACTTTCCTCCATAACCATGAGAAGCTTGGGGTCCAATCTGCAATTCATGTTCTTTCAGGCACTGGTGTTCCTGGGAGACATTTTCCCTCAGTGTGTGGATGCTGGGGAAAATAAAATCAGTGAGGCGTCATTATAGTAGGTACTGTGTGAAATTCTGACAATCACAATGTAGATATGAGAGAACAAACAGCACAGCTTTAAAAGAATGTGTCCTAAGTCTAAGAACTCTTTAAATAACTGGCAAGGTATTGAAACCTCTACCACTCCACTCAACAGGGAATATTCCTTGTGAACGTGAACTTAAAAGTGAAGATTTGTTATTTACAGGGAATATCTAGAATTGTTAACTGTGCCTAAGCAATACCCTGGAGATTTACCTTGTGTCTTGATTTCCTTCTGAAATATAGCAGTGCACTTGCTGGTATGCGAGTGTGCCTAGGCACTCCCATGCCTCATGGCTGTATGAGAGCTAAGGCACCGCTGCCTGTGACTGCTAGTCTAGTGAAAATTTGGTACTTCTCACCGTTGTCGTTGGAAAGGAAGCTGTACCCAAGGATTTACAGTGCAAGGTTCTCCCTGTATCTGTGGATCTGTGCTGCCTACAACTCTCCAGCTGCTTCTTCAATATGCCCAACTAGTTATTTCATCACCAGTCATCAGTGGAAGCAGCACTGACATGAGGAAGCAAAGCCCAGCTCATCTACCAAGATGGCTACCTCCACACAGAGCCAGTGCAGAACAAAGCACAGCAAGTCATTAGAAATGAGGGAGCTGCCCTGAGTTTGCCCAAGCTACTTAAAACTGACCGCCACTCCGTCCTCTTGACCCAATCGTTTGTGGGGAGGCGCATTCCCCGCCCCACAGCTATACGTCACAAAGGGACAAGGAATACCCCCACCGCAAGTTCTGACGGGTAGAGGGGGTGGAGGACAGTGCTTTGAGCAGGCTTGGCAAACTGTGTTTGCACCAAGCCCACCCAAATCAATAAGTCTGTAATGGGGAACAGATCAGCTGCAGGGAGCCTAGGGCTAATATTGGCGACTAGACCTTTGTCCCCAGCTTGCATTATTTGGGTAAAGCTCCTACAGAATAGGCCCTCTAACATATTATTTACTAGCAGGCATGGGTAACACGGTTCTCCGGTGAAGAGCTCAACGATTTCCATTTACAAAAGAAAGTCTGTGCACTAATTTAAAGCCCTCAGTACATTAGAAATAATTGGTTGCTGCGGAATATCTATGGTCACAACATCTTTGCCACCAGTTCACCTGACTGAAGATTGCGTGCAGAAATCAGCTTTGTGCAGCACTTTCCTGGAGCACCTCTACGCCATTTTGTTAGCTATTAAGGGCAATCCCTTCACCACACCAATACTTATCCTTCACTTACTTGATGTGTTCCTGGTGACCGGATCCTTCCACAGTTTTCGCTCCCCATCTCTGTTCCTTCTCAGAGAGGTCATTCTATTAACAGAGACACGGTTTGCTCGATGATTATATTCCACAACAGAGTGTTACTTCTTACGATACTATCAGCATTATGCAATAGAAAGAGTGCCAACAGATCATGCTAAACTCCGGGCACAAAAACTTCTATAGAACTAGATTCCTCAATAGCAACAAAAGGATAAAAATCCACTTCATGGCCAATAAAAGGTCTTTGCAAACCCATACAAGTAGGACTGTGGGACGGGCCCAGCAGAACTAACAAAACAGACCACCTGCAAAAAACTACAGGAGGGGGTGGAGACAAGACCAGTCGCCCTGCACAAATTTCACTGAGTTGTGTTGCATCATTTAGCTCTGCTGCAGGAACCCTGAGTGCTGCATGGTAAGTCTGATCAATGTAGACTCAATTAGTACCTTTCTGTCCTAAAATTAATTTGGGCAAAAATGTAAAGAATTACACTGGAACCATTGATCTTGCCCTTGAGAATCTTGAGTAGAGAATACAGGGCGGTGTCCTGCAGCGTATGCAAAATATTACGTTCAAATTCTATACTCCTCATCAGCTCACCACAAAATCGGGATCCGTCTCCCAGTCATCATTGTCATCTGCAGAGATGGAAAGGGAATGTCCGGCTGCTGCTTTCCACATCTGAAATGAGAGAATCTTTGTTACAACACGTCCTCACAACAGGTTCAAATAGAACTTCAGTTTACAATAATAAATATGCTTCGCCTTCTTGACAAAAATAAAATGCAGCTCTTGTCGCAATACTTACCTGGACTCCAGAGCCGTCCCCTGCAAATATGTGCCCCACCGCCGGACCTTTTCCGGGTTCCTGGTGGCCAGTGTCATTCAGCCCACTTCCTGTGAGCTTTTAGGGCCGTCAAAGACCCGCCCGCTGGGGGTGCGTCACCACACGGCCTGGACACCCAGTGCAATACTTACCTTGTCTCCAGAGCCGTCCCCTGCAAATATGTGCCCCACCACTGCTCCTCTTTCGGGTTCAGTGATGGTCAGTGTCATTCAACCCACTTCCCGTGAGCTTTTAGGGCTGTCAAAGACCCGCCCAACTGGAAGTGTGTCACCACTCGGCCTGGACTCCCAGTGCAATACTTTGTTTATGTAAAGGCATGACTGTAATGACGGCAGCAAGCAAACAAACGCTTACATGTTTCAGCCCCCAAACTGAGTCTAAGTCGAGGAAGGCCCAGTTTGAGGGCTGAAACATGTAAGCATATGTTTGCTGCTCTTATGCCTTTTTACAAAGTACTTAATGGACGGATCCCCTTGCGAGTGCCATTTTTTTTTACCCGTTGCTCAGTGTAAGCTCAGGCGGAAGCTTTACCAGGCACCGAGGTTCAAGCAGCGGGATTGGAGACAACAGGGTAGAGCTGCTCAATGTTTCTAAACTGCTACAGTGCAATACTTACCTCGTCTCCAGAGCTGTCCCGCACAAAAACTGCCCCACCGCCGTCCTCTTCCGATGGCCAGTGTGAATCACCCCCCTCCCCAAAAAACACACGCACAAAAAAAAAAAAACCTCCAATTTCAGGGATAGAAGTTTGCATATGTTCTGCTTGGCAAGCAGTAATTTTCAGTCGCTATGGCGACACATTGTCTTTACAATTACTGGGCTCCTCCGCTACGCAATATTTATAGCTGCGGGGAATTAGGCTCAATTGTTCACGATGTCTCCACTTCAGCGCCAAGCGATTCAGAAGCCAAAAAGAATTAAAGCATCACATCCAAAAAAACAAATTTACTGCACCCGAAAAAAAGGAATGATGTATGCAAAGCTCCATCATTAACTTGAAGGTACTATTAGATTTAACCACAGCCTGAAACTACCCAACGCTTACAGCTCATCTCCAGGAAACCCCCCCCCCCCCCCCAACAATATATAAAAAAAAACCCCCCCCACCACTACATTTGGAGTAGGGATACCCCGGCACTGCAAGGGTTACCTGCTCGGTGGTATGTAGGGATAGTGTTCAAAAGGACTTTTACCTGATCCCCACTCCCGCAGACGCCAAGGCCGGTGCCCGCAGCCCCTTTCCCCTTCTGCTCCGACGGTCGGTCTGCTGACGCCATCACCTATAATGCATGGAACATAGCTCTGCATTAAACGTGAGGACGCCGAGTGACAGTCCACGGGCTGGAGTAGAGGGGAGAGAGGAGTGCCGACCACTGCGGGAGCGGGGATCAGGTAACTAAAACTACTTTGCACAACACCCCTACACAGAAATGAGCAGTTAACCCTTGCAGTGCGGGGGGTAGCCCCACTGCAACGGGAGGTTTTGTTTTTTCTTTCTTTTTACCCGTTAATAGGATTTAAAGTGCATTTCCACGTTTGCAGCCACATTTTTATGTCCCCATTCACATAGCATAACTTTACGTTTGTAAAAAAAAAAAAAAATGTAACCCTTGCAGTGGGGCTACCCCTGCATTAGACGTGGTGATGTCACAGGTAGTTAGACCGCTGGAACCTGGGGCAGAAGAGGCTGCAGGGACCAATCTTGCAGCCAGATGGGACTGAGGATTAGGGGAGTATTTCTTCTTTATTATTTACAAATCCCATCAAGCATCTGCATATGGGAGTCATGTCTGTGGCTGTCAGTCTTGAAATGCCTAATGGGATTTGTAGTCCCACAACAGCTGGCCTACTCCTACTATATAGTTTAAAGCAGGGGTAGCCAAACTCCGGCCCTCCAGCTGCGGTGCAACTACAAATCCCATGATGCATCTCTCTCCGGAAGTCATGTCCGTGGCAGTGAGAATCTTGCAATGCCTCATGGGATTTGTAGTTCCACCACAGCTGGAAGGCCAGTTTGGCTAGCCCGGGTTTAAAGGGTAATTCCACACTCCCAGGTGAAGTTTGGGAAATGGAATTACCCCATTAATCCCCCACCCCCCTCCCTCCGGCTTTTACCCATCAAACAATGGGGCAGATTAGTGGGGGTAATTCAATTTTCCCAAATTCGTCTGGGAGAGTGGAATTACCCTTGAAGTTGATTGCGCAGTCAGATGGGAACATGTACGGTCAGTCAAAGGACTGGTAAGCTGTAATTTATAAAACAACTCTTTAGCCTTAAAAACAAAATAAAAAACACACAATGGCCAAAAATCACACCGAGACCTATTGATGTGACTGATAGAAGCCAAGTGTTTACCACGCTGGTGGAAAAACTGGCTTCATGTTCCGCAAGCTCTGGAAATGCGATCGGGTGGGTTCAGGGGTGTGCAATGAAAATAAAAGCTCCATTTGAGATGAATCGCCGCCGAACATTCCAGCTTTCATTGCTAAACACAGCACAAACATTATGCTGAACCGCGATCGCATTCCGGGGCCGAAAAACGCCATCCAGTACGAGAAAAAATGCGTTATCGTTCATGGAAATGGTTCATTTTCCAACATGGAAAAAAAAAGCGCAGCGTGTTCGTATATCCAGCAGAGGAGGCACAGGCATGGCTGAACACTTCGAGCAAACGTTGGAGCCCGGCCCGTGACCCACATGTCTGCTTCTAGAACAAAAAGTGTGGCACATAGTGAGGCATCATGACAGATCAGCAAGAGAACGCAGCAAATGGCTGGGCATTAAGCCCTCTGTGACTAAGCGCCGGATCCCCGGTGAACTTCACACTGCTCCTATTTATAAAGATAAACTCCAGGCACAAATAAAAAAAACACAAATGAGCGCAGTCCTGTTCTAGTCCCTCTCCACACTATACAAAACTGAAAAAAACTGAAGGTTTTGGCTGCAGTTTTACCTGAGGGGCCCCTACAGACGGCTTATATTGGGACCATTCAGCCCAGTGGGAAGAATCAATCTCCCCATCCGCACTAACAGCACCCACGGCTTCTGGTGCTAAACAATGACCGCATCCAATAGGACAAAGATTTCAGCCATGGGGCGGGGGGGGCAGCAAGCACCACTCGGCTCGGCCTTTTAAAGAACTCCTATTCCCCCCCCCCCCCCCCCCCCCTCCCCCCACGGAGACAAGACCCCGGCTCG